GGGGGGGGGGGGGGGGGGGAGGCGCGGAGAGATGGTTCAGTGGTTACAAGCTCTGGCTGCTCTTGCAGAGGACCTGGATTTGATTCCCCCCACCCACATGGCAGCTAAGAACCGCCCAACATAACTTCAGTTCCAGGGGATCCAACACCCTCTTCTGACCTCCCGTGTCAATTCTGACTGGAGACTGCATTCCTTGGTGATAGGATGCTCCCGGCTAAAGCCCAGAGCCCTAGCTCTGGTCCACAGCCACCACCTACAAGAAACCTGCTGCACTGCCAGCCTTGCTCATGGGACAAGGGACTGAAGCAAGTGGATGTGAATTCTGCAGAAGACAACAGACACCCCCACGTCTTCACCAAGGGCTCCTGATTTATGTCCTGTCCTCCTAGACCACCCAAACACAGTGCACGGCTGGAGCCAATCCACCCTCCTGCATGCAGGTACCCACCACATCTTCTGTGCTGCAATAAAATACTCTGGGCAAAAGTGATGCAAGAACACTTTATTTTAGCTCAAAGGTCAAGACAGAGTCCATCAAGGCAGTTTACAAAGGTGAACTGCTGCTCAGCTTCCTTCCTCTGCAGTCCACGGTCCTCAGACCCATGGGGCTTACAGTGGACGGGTCTTCCCACTCAAATAACCAAGGTAAAGCCCTAGGGGCCCCACGCTACATCCCATCGAGGTGACACAAAGGGCAAGAATGGAAAACTGACTTGGTATGTTAAAAAGTCCCAGAAAGTCAAGGGATAGATTTCAGCAGATAAATTTCTGATACACTGAAGGAGACTTTCAGTCCTAAACACATTAACCTTTCTAAAACCCTAAGAAAAATGCCTATTTAACAGACTGGAGAGAGACCTCAGCAGTTAAGAGCATTAGCTGTTCTCCCAGAGCACCCAGGTTCAATTGCTTCCAACCCAGGTCAGGCAGCTCACAACTGCCCACAACTCCAGTTCCAAGGGATCCAACCTCCTCTGCCCTCCAAGGGTACTGTACTCACACGTGCATACATACAGAAACACATACATACACAATTAAAAACAAATATTTTATTTAAAAACTCAAGGGGAGATGGTTAAAAATCTACACAAGTTCTGAACATGTTATTTCAAAATAAAATCAAACTGACAAAAGACACAATCACATGACCTCCACAGCAGCGATTCCATCCCGTTACCTAACAAGTTCTTGAGGGCTAAGAAATACTTTCAGTGTTACGTACGCATGCACACCACAAGAATGTTATTGGTTATCTTATGTATTAAGCATTTTGCATGTATGTACGTGTACTTGGTGTGTGCAGTGCCCACTGAAGACAGAACCACCTTTTGGGTACTAGGATCCAAACTTGGATTCTTTGTGAGATTAGTAAGCGACTTACCCCCTAGGTCAGCCCTAAAGTAAGGGTTTTTTGCTTTTGTTTTTTGTCTTTTTGAACCTGGAACTCACTATGTAGACCAGACTGGACTTGAACTGAGAGATCTGCCTGCCTCTGCCTGGGATTAAAGGCATCTGCCTCCCAGCCCAAATAAGGTATTTTAAAATACCTTAAGAATGGCTGGGGGGCTTGAGAGATGACTCAGTGGTTAAGAGCACTGGATGCTTTTGCAAAGGATACAAGTTCAGTTCCCAGCACTCACGTGGCAGCTAACAACACCCATAACTCCAGTTCAAGGGGGAATCCAACACCCTCCTCTGACATCCATGGGTACTACATGACACTGGTACTTACATGCATGTAGGCAATACACTCATACACTTAACAAAAAAAGAGTGACTAGTAATAGCAGGGAGCCAGGTTCAATGGAAGAACACTTGCCAAGCTTACAAAGACTCCAGGTACCAGGTTCTGTCCCCAGCACCAAAACAAAAAAAGCTAACAGTAAGTTAAAAGGTGCTAAGCCAGCAGTGCACAGCATACATGCACCAATAGGAAGATCACTCCAGCTGTAAGACCACTCTGATCCCCTAAGCAAGTGTCACCACGAGAACCAAGCCTGGCCTTTTTGTACAAACAAAGGGGGAAAAAAGCCAGACACGGTGGCACTTACCTATAATCCCACCACTGTAAAGTACTAGGCCAGCCTGGTCTGCACAGCAAGTTCCAGGTCAGACAGGGCTACAGAGTGAAACCCTGTCTCCCAAACCAAAAATAAAAAACTGAATGAACCAATGTGGGGGGCAGGGGAAGAGATAGAATGGGATATAGAGGGAACATTCAGACGGCAAGGACCTCCCACTAAGGACTGTACAGTAGCCAGTTCCTGAAGACCGCCCTCTGCAGAAACTAAACCAACCCACACACAGGCAGCTTCAGGCACGTTTCCTAAGAGCTAACACTGAAAGGACCGTTTTAGAAGCATGGCAAAGGGCTAAAACCTGTCACTCTGTAAAATGCTGCTGTTTGGAATCACTGCGGATGGCTCCATGCCTCAGTGTATTCCCAAGGCTGTGTCCACTCTTGGGACTGACTCAGTTCTCTGAGAACAATCCTAATTGTGTTCAAATGTCCAAGGAACCAGATTCACAAGTGGGGCCGTCATGTCAGTTCTACTAATAACCTGTAAAACCAGCACACGGCAATGACAGAACACAATAAATTCTCCCAAATGCAAAAGACAAGTGCTGGACGGGTTGTCTCCTCCACAGTGGCCCATCAGGTGAGCAGCTCCCAGCTGAACAGTGCCAAATGCTTCAGGTTCCAACATCCTAATTCCCACACACGTACAAACCAAAGCTGAAGCAAAGCTCTCATTGGCTCACTTCACCTATGACTGACACACAAGGTTCCTGTCTTCTCCCACTTCCCTAGGTGACATCAAAGCTCCTCTGCCAAATGGTTCTTCCCACATTCCGTATCCAGCTTCATCTAAAAGGCTACAGGAATCTAAGCAACTCGAATTCTTCACTCAGTAATAAAGAAGCCATCTGGTCTAGTCATACACACAAGTGGCTTCCTGATGTAAATTCCACTGGTAAAGCAAAATAGTCTCCCACCGTGTGGTGTAGCTGCATACCTACCTCGTCCAAAGAATCGCAGTCAAGCCACTTGCTCCTAATGTGTGCTCAAGTGCTTCCTGCACTACTGGATTTATCATCATCTTCAACTACTTCTTATCAAGTTCTACTCTCCTATGAGATTTCTTAATTTATTCTTGGCAACATAGTATCAGGATCTTGAAAGTATCATGATTTTCACAGGCCTCCCACCAGGACCAGTCATCAGCAAAGAATCACATACCACTCATCTCCAAAATGACAGGGTAGGGGTTTAAACACAAGTTCATTTAATATTATGTAATGTTTAGCTGGAATTAAAATGACCAAAGATTTTACAGGCTGAGAAACATTTGTTTTTGCTCGTCGCTTATTCATCCATGAGCTTACTGTGCATATTGCCCTCAAGTGATTTCTTACCAACTGTATCCTAAAAACTATAAAATTAGCTTTGAAGAATGAAGTTTTAGACCTGTTTCTTTTCCTCATAGAAATAGACCAAAATACTTAACAGGGCATGGTGGTGCATGCCTATAATACCAGCACCCAGAAAGTGGAGGCAGGAGGACCAAGAGTTCAAGGACAGCCTGAGCTACTGAGTGAGGCACTCTCTTAAAACAACAAAAACAAAGATGGGGGTGATCACTCGATGGGGAACTGGCTAATCTGCACAACACCCTGGGTCTGATCCCTAGCACTGCCCCTCCCCTAAAAAACAATACTAAGATGTTCAATGGTGTTCCAAGCACTCATACATACAGATCTTCACACACACTGACGACGAGGAGTCTGTGTAACCTCCGTCCAGCTTCCACCTAATGAGCACTGAGGAAGTGACACTAGACCCAGCACAAAGTCACACACAGACACAAGACCCCACTCATGAAAGAATGCACCAAACACATTCAGATTTATTTTTTTTTTCTTTTTTAAAGCAAATGACAAAGACCCAATGTACCAGTTTTAAACCTAGCTTAGCATTACATATTTAAACAGTTGTCAGAACTGGGGACGTTGCCAGCAATCATGCACAGCTAGAAAACATCCTTAATTTATACTGAACCAGAAATGTATTACCATTGATGTAGAAATAACTGTCATTACTAAACACTGAAAGAACTGAATACTTCTGTAGAAGATTCCTCCTGACAAGGTTAACTTCACAGCGGCTGACACTAGGGCTCACATCAACACAACTGAAGCAGATCCATGCTGGTGTTAGAGAACAGTCTTCTCCTAGCACTACTCAGAGTCACAGGCTCACCTTGGATTACGTTTTAAAAAAGCAAAGTGCATACAGAGATTACAACAATTTTAAGACAAAAAAAAAAATGGTCCTATTGTGTGGTCCCAACAACAAACTCAAAAGTCTATGACAAACGGGCTCCGATGAGCTGTTTATAAATACTTTAGATTAGGTACAGTTATACTGAAAGTCGAGTTCATTTGAAATCTTCAAAAAAATGTTCCTGTTAATCCTCAAATGGTGCTTGTTATTAACATTCTGTTAAATGCGTGCGTTGAATTACTTGTTATCCAAGCGTAGGAGCTGCTCCTTACCATTTATCGTCAAGGACTTTAACTGGCCGTCTTCCTCAACTTCTACTCTCTCTTGACCATTCTCTACAATTCTGTAAGAAAAAACTCATTTAGAAACCTCTATTAAACTGGGGTGTAGAGGTAAGAGACCACATGCATAAAATTATTGATGGCCCTAGGCTCAGTCCTTAGAACCACAAAACACCTTCTATAAAATCAACATATTAACTACACACACGCATGCACAACAGGCACACACTTAAATGATTGTACCTATAAATACATTTATTCATTTTTAAAAGCATTAAGGTAACAGATACATGAAAACTGAGATGAAATTTCAGCTTAAGCCAATCTTAGTATCATTCTTAAAACTCCTATTCTGGGCCAGGCGTGGTGGCACACACCTAGGATCCCAGCACTTGAGGCAGACAGATCTCTGTGAGTTCAAGGCCAGCCTGGTCCACGTAGTCAGTTCCAGGCCAGCTGGGGCTACGGAGAGGCCCTGTCTCAAAAACAAAACAAAACAAAACAAAAACATTAAGTAAACATCGATAGCAAAAAGCTCTAGCTCACCTAGAAATGAAGCACGGTTTCTATTCCAGCTCTGCGGACGTGTGCAAAGTAACAACGAAGCACTACGGCCCTTGTCACTGCACACTAACACTGAGCTGAAGAGGTGACACCACTAGGAGACAGGAAGCAGGAAGGAGTTCAAGGCCAACCTGGGCTACAAGGGACCATCTTTTTTTTTTTTTTAAAGGGTACTGGAGGGACTGTGGTTGTGAAGAACACTGGCTACTCCTGCAGATGGCACAGGGTTCAGTTCCCAGCACCCACGTGTAGCTAACTGCCTGCAACTCCGGGTCCAGAGGCTCCAGCACCCTCTTCTAGCCTCCATGGACACCTGCACTCAAGGTGCACATAAAATGAAAACTATGAATTTTTTTAGATGGCCCGGAACTGCAGACCAGGCTGGCCTGGATCTCAGATTCGCCTGTCTCTGTCACCCAAGTGCTGGGATTAAATAAATAAATAAATAAATAAATAAATAAATAAATAAATAAATAAATAAATAAATAAATCTTAAATATCATACCTTTTTGTAGTGATTTTTCTGCCATTAACTATTTTAGTAGAAGTTGATATTGACTTGAAATTGCCCATCCCACTGCCGCCAAAGGACGTTGACGAGAAGGAAGTGAGACCCCCGTGACCCAGTGATCCGAAAGGAGTGAATCCTACAGAAAAACATAAAACACAGAGCTAATACTTCAAGTACTTATGCAAACTCTACTGAGTTCAAAATTTAGTAAGCCATCTGGCATTAAGAAGCCTCCAAGTAGGCCTGTGAGACAGCTCACTGGGTGAAGGCACTGCTATCAAGCCAGATGACCAGAGTTCAATCCCTGGGACTCATATTAAAAAAGAACCTACTCCCACAAGCTGTCTTTCTGACATCCACCTGCACCTGAGACAGACAGACACACACACACAGACACACACAAATAAATGAATATAAATTTCTTTCAAAGCAGCAGAGAACAACATGCCAGCAAACTGCTGAGGTCCAACAGCTCAGCAGTCTCCAGAATCATTTGTCCTAGGGCAATAGTCAGCTGCTTTTTCTTTCATAGGCTCTATTTGAGGACAGGGCTTCACCATGCCCAGTTTTTAAGTGGGTACTAGGGGTCTCAAATTTGGGTCATCATGTTTGTGCAGCAAATGTCTTACTGAGCTGCCTCCGCAACTGAGCCGTCTCCCCAATCCTAGGCCTCTTTCCCTAGAAATTATCTGTATAATACTTAAGGAAAACAAATCCTGAGCTGTACAATCACCCCAAACATTACCATCCAGACATAAACCAATTCAGAACAGCTCCTCTGTGAGGTATGAGTGAGCTGAGGAGGGTCACCACAGTGTACTCCAGGCACAGTCCTTTGCCATATGTATACAAAGCTCTGCAGTGCCAAGAGGCCCTCTTAACTCTGCAACTCACGGGGGCCACTCTAGCTGTAGTTACACACTCAAGATGTGAGCCAAACTTCCAATTGCATCCTGCTGGACAGTCCTAGGATACTACCTGTGTGTGTCCTTTTGCTTAACAGCAAGAGAGGTTAGCTAGCTCACAGGAAGGACTGACTTGGTGTGATTGTTCAAGTAGATAATTCTGAACTTACTGAAAATTAACATTCTCTTTATACTAAATGTTATCCTGTAACAGATTAAGTTTTCAAAGCCATGTGTAGAGGTAAACACCTGTAACTCTAGCACTCAAACACAGGTAGGAAGCATCATGAGTTCAAGCCCAGCCTGGACTACACAGCAAGACCTTATCTGTCTGTCTCCATACCCACCCTCAAAAACATAAATGAGTTTAACATTTTTGGAAAGATTAGGGGAAGGGGAACAAAACTAGGAACCAATTGGGGGTTAGAGCAAACACACAAAGTTCTTACAGAAGGAACACAGACTCCAACACACCAGTCTAACTGAAAGACCATTCAGACAGATCTGACCTAGAGCTGTAGCATACCTGTGTCGAATGAAGAAAATCCACCTCCAAATGATGGAAATCCACTGAAGGCGGAGAAAAACGAGCCTGTGCCTCGGTTTCTGCTTCCTCGGGGACCCCTTCGGTTACCAAAAAAATCATCAAATGGGTCTTCTAGAAACAAATAGAAAGTTGTGTTATAAATCGTTTTTCAAGCTGTTTCCATAGAAGAAAAAAAGATCAATGCCTTGCTATACAGCCATACACTGGGAAGAAGGACCTTGCTAGTCAAGAAGCTACAGTCCACAGTCCAGAGCACCTGCAGAACTTACCGGTTTCATAAAAGTAAAGTTCATGCTACAAAGTAAATGACCAAACTCACAGTAAAAGCAGTACCTACGTATACCAGGCTCCTCAGAAAGGCTTCAGAATGATTCAATAAAGCTTTTGTTCAGTACACAGTTGGACTCATTAGAAGTGATGATCTCACATGAACTTAGGTACTTGTACTCCAAGGAGTCTGAGCTGTTTTCTCCAACATGACTCAGAAATAAACACAAACATGGACTATGCGAACATTTATTTAAACAGAGAAAATGGGCCAGGAGGCAGGCGAATCTGACAATTGTGTTCAAGTCGTCTTTTGTAGAATCTGTTCATCTGGAGTCTCAAATTCTAGAAAATCACTTTAAGTTAAATCTGAACAAATGTTAACTGGCAGGCATCTGAGAGAAGCAAACATCATACTAGTCCTGGAAACACCAAGATACTCCTGAAAACAGCTCAGCAATGACTTATCAAAGAATGACCTGCATTTAACAAGTCTCCACACCCCGGTAGCAGCGGCTGCTTTTTCCTTGTCCTGGCTGACAATGCAGGACTTGTGACTATTATTTTTTTAAACTTACCTTTTTAAATGATAAGTTTTTCCAGAAGTGGGAAATCTGTAAGGAATCCTACCAGATGCTGTCAGACATAAATGCATGCAGGAGAAAAGAGAGGTACCACCCTCAGCATGAGTGACAACAGGGTAGGAGTGGCCAGAGCCAAGAAACTGGTCAGCTGCAGCCAGATGGACACAACAACCCAGAATGAGCACTGGCTCAGGAACCAGGTCTATGACTCAGCAGGGCCCAAGAAGGGGCACTGCACTTGGCCAGACTACAAGAACCAGAGCAGGGAGCAGCTGAGGTCCAAGCAGGTACAGGAAAGCAGAGGAGAGGCTTAAAGGAGCTCAGGAAAGCTGGACAGGGCAAGGGAACAAGCTGGACCTCAAAGAGTTTTTCTAAGCGTTTTTTCTGGTTTGGCAACTCTGCCTAAATGAGTCCAGGAAACTAGGGCTCAATACCAACCACAGAGGCTAGTGGCCCCTGCAGGACTGTTTCAAGGTCTGGAAGAGGTTTCATGAAAGGAGGCAGGGTTCATCAACAAGCAGAGACTGAGACCCAGGCAAGGTAGATTTAATACGGAAACAGAAAACTACATCCTGAGCTAACTGCCGGACACTGGCTTTGGCTGTGAACAGATCCTACTGTCCTGGTGTTCCAACAAAAAGAAACAAACTTCTCCAGTGGCTACAGAGACCCCAATTCAAACAGAATCTGGGCATGTTATCTACTAAGTAACTTTCAAACTAACCTTGACCTGAGTTTCCAGCATCCATCTGGATTCTGTCATAACACAACTGTCCTGAAAACCAAACAGGACACCTGGAAACAGGTGTCTGCATTACCAAACTCATTTCAATGTTCTAGTCACAAAATTCTCTCTCTCTCTCTCTCTCTCTCTCTCTCTCTCTCTAATCAAACTCAGGTCCTCTGGAAGAGCAGTACAGGCTCTTAACCACTAAGCCGTCACTCCAGCCCCAGATATATATATATAATTTATATATATATATATAATAAATAGAAATGTAGGTATGTGCACCCATGTCGTGCAATGCCCAACCGAGGTCAGAAGAGGGCATTGGATCCCCCTGGAAGTGGAGTTACAGTTAGCTGTCATGTGGGTGCTGGGAATCAAACCTGGCTCCTCTACAAGAGCAGTCCGTGCTCTTACCCACAGAGCCCCATCTCTCCAGTAAAGGCACTTGCTGACAACCTGAGTTCAATTCCCAGGAGTCAGGAGTCAACATGGTGGAGAGAACTGACTCATACAAGTTGTGTCCTGATCGCCATAGGTACACGCACATGTGTATACACACAGAGTCAGAAATTTAATTATTTAATTAATGTAATTTAAGAAATATACCAGAGGTAGATAATCACTCTGTGATCGAGGCCAGCCTGGGATGGTCTATATCCAGGTCAGCTAGGACTATGTAGTGAGAAATTTTGTGGACTAGAGAGTGGTTAAGAGCACTGGCTGCTCTCCAGAGGACTCAGGTTCAGCTCCCATCATCCACATGGTAATCAGCTGTCCATAACTGCTTCCCGCAGGTCCAGGAATAACGCAATCTCCTGGCCTCCGCAGGAAGAGCACGAGGACGAGTGTACTTCAGATACATGCAGACAACACGCACAAAAATGTAAGAAACAAATCAACTTTTGTACAATCCTGCTATTCTCTGAGAAACTATTAATCCATGATATCAGCAAGACAACTAAAGTTAACTGGCCAAAAAATTACGCTGAGGCAAAAATGGTTAAAAAAAGAAATACATAGACCATCTACCTGCAAAGTGCCCACAAAACGCCTAAAGAAAGAAAACTATGTAAGAACTTCAGACCAGATGTGCAGGACCTACTACCAGTGAAAGCCAGGTGCAAAGCACACATCCATGCAACACAGTGCAGAGACAGCCAGTGACTACAGCTCCAAACACTCCATCCCTGTGCTACAATGGGACAGGAACAGAAGAAAAACACCTGCAACATGGGAATTTCCATCACAAAACAACACTCTATACTCAAGAAGTACATGAAAAACCACATGACTGAAAACTGCTGGGCATGATGGCACATGTCTTCCTCCTTGCACTATGGAGGCAAAAACAGGACTGCTACAAATTCCAACCAGCCAGGACTACATACTGAACCCACATCTCTTAACAAAAACAAAACTAGCCACCCTGAGGCCGGCCATGGTGGGCAGAGATGTCCTATCACCCAACCAACCCCACTCACAAGAGCTAAAATGAGGGCATTCACTCATTACAATCCGATTGTCAGATGGTATCTCTTATATATTCTAGAGTCGAATTACCAGAAACAAGAGCAAAGGAAGACCACAGCCAGGGACCAGACCGAGCCACAGGCCTGCTGGGAGCTTCCCACGAGTCTCTTGCACCACTAGACCACAACACACCTAAGACTGAGTCTGGCACTGAGTGGAGGACACCAGATGCCAAACACAGGCACTGCCAATCTCTATGAAAGTGCTTTTGCTAGCAAGTATTCTACATCAGGGGCTGGAAAGATGCTTCAGCTGCTCTTTAAGAGGACCTGGGACTGCCTCCCAGAACGCACATGGTAGCTCACAACCATCCTTCATCCTTATCTCCAGTTCCAGGGGATCCAGCAGCCTCCTCTGGCCTCTGCAGGAACCACACACATGGTGCACTTAACACATATACGTGTAGGCAAAACACTCACACATAAAAAACTAAAAAGCACTCTACTTCACATGCTGCCACCTGCCTGGTTTTACATGAGGAACCCGAGAGACAATCATCATCAAATTCTGGTTGTCCACGGAACTTCCTCCCAGGAGCTATCACAGGTCTTCTCTGCTCTTATCTACGACGCACACGCAGTGTCTACCTGTGCTGGCCGCTCCTCAGTGTGAGCCTGCCGCTCTCCTCCTACCCAGACACTATGGTGCACACGTTAACGACGCATCTCTCACATGTGAGCTGTCCACAAAAGAGCAACCATCATGCTCATAATGTGGTGGCGCACACCTTTATAATCCCAGCTCTTGGGAGGCAGAGGCAGGCAGATCTCCGTGAGTTCAAGGCCAGCCTGATCTACATAGCGAGTTCCAGGACGGGTGGGGCTACAGAGAGACTCTGTCTCAAAAAGACCAAAAAAAAAAAAAGTGTGAGCCAAACACCAGATAGGGAGGGTACTGATGCCTTCACTTTTGAATGGGGAAAAAGACAATCAACAGGAAATGACACAGGAAGCTTAGGTGACAGCTGGATCTATATGAAAAAACCTTATTCCGCTGCTCAAGAATGCTGTGGGGTGACCAGCTTCAGGTTCTCATGGCAAAGAATACAACCTCAGAATGACCTGTGCAAAAAGTCATGTCCTCCTTTACTTGGAGAGAGGATGAGTGAGAGGAAGAGCTATTTTGAATCACCCAGGACATTCCAAAAAGAATCACTAAGGCATTCCTCATTGCTGGGGTAATTATATGTGAAAACTCAGTAAGTAGCCAACCTCAGGACTGGATCTGAGTTCTCCGGAGCTCAGAACAATTTACCAAGGCCTGTAGCTGCAGTACCGCACTCTCCCCTGAGGGGAGAGAGCAAGGAGGCACATGAATGACAGATAAGCTATAGCTCATGAAGATGTCTGCATTTGTGACTTTGGCTGGAAACTGGTCTCATGGTTTATGTACATTTTTCCATTCCCTTCTTTTATTTATTTTAACTTTTTTTAAATTTAATAACCACATGATTAGAAGCATTCCATTACAGCTTTAACATATTCAATAACAATTTTATTGTTTTTTAATTTTGTGCATATGAGTGGACTGCCTGAATGATTAAGAGAACCCCTGCTGTGCAATGCCTGGGAAGGTTGGAAGAAGGCATCAGATTCCCCTGGAACTGGAGTTACAGACAGCTTCTAGCAGCCATGTGGGTGCTGGAATAGAACCCAGGTCCTCTGTAAGTGCAGCCAGTGCTCTTAACCACTGAGCCGCCTCTCCAGGCCCCCCACTGCCTTCTCTGATGAAACTCTGTGAATAAACAAGGCCATCTGTGACGTGGTCAAGCCTGAGTTACGGGTAGCCTGGAGCACATTTGTCCTCAGCCTCAGAAGGGCCCTGAAGCCCCTGCACCTTGGACTTGCAGCACTGTATGAAATCTGTTCTTTAAACCACCAGGCCTACTGCTTTGTTACAGCAGCCCTAGTCAACAGAGACCATAACACTGTTTTCTGAGCTACAAGGCAGCCTTCTGAAAGAAAGACAGCCCAAAAAAGGGGGCCGCCGGCATGGGGCCTCAAGGTCATTTGCCTCCCTGGTCTAAGTCAGCACCGGTAATCTGACCAAGTACAACATGAAGGTGACAGAAGCATTTTCTTTTTATTCTAGATAGACTTTTTAAATAACCCTTCTTAAAAACTAGAGACCCAGGGCCATTCCTTTTCATTTACTGTTGAACAAGCAGTGCCTCGGACTCCAGCACACTGTATTCCTCCTCGCTCAGCAGCTCCTCACACTCCTCGCTGAGCTCCTCCGAGTCCCCGAGACTAGAGTCCTCCTCACTGGAGATGAGGTCCAGGTCCTCACTGAGAAGTCCACCCTGGCCCCAGCTACAGCCTCCACTCGACTCATCTTCACTAAGGTCCAGCTCCTCACTGGATATCACATCCAAAACCTCACTGTGCTCGTCATTCAGGGCGTCTTCCACTGACTCCTCAAAACAGGGCTGGTCTAGTTCTTCACTAGGCTCCAAGTCCTCACTGGCCACTTCCTCGAATCCTGGGGAGTAAAATGACTGACTCACTACATTAAATTTATGGCTCAGAAAAATTACACTATTTTTACCCTCCATACAATTACCGCCCCCCCACCCGCCTCCAAAGTAGGCTTCCCAAGGTTCTCCACACCAGGAGCTTTTCCAGTGACACAACAGTTCCTCCCCCTAGGCTCAGAGACTTTTAAGGAAGGGCATGCTGCCCCAACACTGTTTTCAAAGGCAGTTTTGGACTTTCCAAAGTGAGAATGCAGACAAAATATCAGGTAACACCCACACAATTCTCTAAGACACCTCCTGCCATGATTAAATTAAAGGCAGTCCAAAGGCCACTGCCAGGTACTTACTTGTCTTACACCACCAGGACACAGGAATGCTGTCCTGGGGTCACTGAGACAAATCAAAAGTCCATCCCAAATCAAACTAATACATTTCAACAAGGGCTCATCTGCAGGTGATCCATATTCCAGAAAATGTCAGTCGCTAGTCTCAAACATGCTTAGTACACCCCAGTTTACTGCAGAACTCCTTGTTGAAACCTTTTGTGGTGACTCTTGTGGCAAAGCTGATGTACTCACAGCACTCAAAGGTCAAGGGAACCACAGATCACAGGACCCAGGGCACTGTCCCTGCTCCCCAGATCTCTGGGATCTGAAGTCCCACCCCATCAGAGGAAGAGGACAGCACTGTTTTGTCAGTCTTAAATCTGACTTTCTGAGACAGAAAAAGGACAGGAGTGGGGTCTAATATAAGAGTACCCTCCTTACCTCCTCCTCCCAAGTTGCTGGGTCACAAGCACATTATACTGCACCCAGAGGTTTTGCAATAGATTTTGAGCTACTTCTTTGAAAGAAAAAACAAGGAGAAATAAAAATTGGTTGTATGACAAATTAAGACTCAAAATGATTTGCTATCATCAATGGACACTGTAACTGGGTTGTTCAAATGTTTTGGGTGCTGCTGACCATCTGCTTAGTCCCCAGACCTGCACATGGCTCCCACTCTACACTGCACATACCCCCGGCAGGTTGCACGGTCACCTCATACACGTAGTAGCCATGGAGTAGCTTCGTTTCCTGTGTGTAAATCTTTACTGCCTGAAAATGGAAGCCCCTAGAAGACCTACAAGAATGGATTGAAGTGTCACTGCCAGACTCACCGTGGCAATACGGGGGAGTGAGTGCCCATCTGAGCCACAGCTTTGCACCACTGGTAAAAACATACACTTAAGCTCTCATACACACCTTCCGTTCAAAGAGGTGCTCAAGGAAAAGTTTTTAAGGGTGGCTAGTATGTCAGATTCTTTCGCCCAAGAAAAACAAGCACTATCTGTATAACTCACTAAAATGGAACACACATCTCATTTTGCATCAGTGCAGGTAGTGGCACAACAAGGACTTCCTTCACAGAGGCAAACACTCTACACTGGGCTACACCTTGCCCTTAATTTTTTGTTTAAAAGATGGTCCATGTGGCATAGGCTGGCCTCAAATTAGCTAATTCCGCTGTCTTCCACCTCCTGTGGTTATAGTTTTGTTGGGATGTTGAGATTCATTGTGTAATCCTGAATGGCCTCAAACTCATGATCCTTATGCCTCAATTTCCCAAGTGCTGGATTAAGCTATGTACTGCCACACCAGCCTTCATTATCCTTGTCTTAATCAAGGAAGATATGCCAACTAACAAAGAAAAGCAAAAAGCAGCAGTTAATAGATGATTATTTTCTGTTCTGTTTTGTTCCTTGAGACAATCTTGCTAGGTACTAGGTAAAACAGGCTGGCCTGAACTCACTAGACAGACCAGGCTGGCCTGAACTCAAGGTGCTCCTTCTGCCTCAGCCTTCCAGGTGTGCATTACCACATTTAGCTATATTTTAATTTTCCTGAGAGTTCTACTTCCCGGCCTCTGAGGATTTGGGTATAAACACGTACTACCTGTCCTATTACAAACTGCACATGCCCTATGTGAAATGCTGATTGGGGGCAAAAGTAGTTGGAGATCTTTTAAATTTTACTTTACATTTAAACACACACACACACAGACAGGCATGGTAATGCACACTTTTAATACCAACACTCAGGAGGCAGAGGCAGGCGGACCCCTGTGATATCAAGGCCAACCTGGTCTACATAGGAGTTCCAGGCCAGTTGTGGCTATGGGGAGACCTTGTCTCGAAAAGATCAAAAACAAAACAAAAAACAAAAAACCCACATGTGTGTGTGTTCCTGTACACAGGGGACATTCACTGGAAACAAACTCAGGTTGTCTGGCTTGGTGGCAAGCACCTCTACCCTCTGAGAGATCTTTTAGGGGAAGGGAGAGTGGAACAGTCGTAGACTTATCAGTGGGGCATTCCTAACCTGAATACCCATTTGCTCCAAAATCTGTTTTCCAAATATTACGGACCCCACCCTCACTATTTTATTTGTAGGGAGCCTTCATAATGGTGGCTTTTTTACTTCATGAAACCAGCCAGTCTCTCCTCCCCCATCAACTTTCTCCAGCTCTGTTTCATTTATGAATGAAGGTACTCTTGACACACTGTCTTTCCCTCCCTCAGAAAGGTAGGTTCCACGTCAAGCCCTATCACGACACAAAGGAAAATCTGACACCTCTCCCACAATCGAGATCAACTGAGGGATTATGAAAAGACCTACCAGCACCAGGGTGAAGTGGTCCTCTTCACACCCATGACACCCAAGGCCTCACCTGTCTCCTGTTATTACTGGCAGACATAAGCACTCTTCTTTTTTCCCTTCTGGGATGGTGGGTGATGTTCAAAGTCTCTTCAGCCATGCTCCAGGCAAAAAGTAAAGCTGACACAGGATGTGTCCCCCACTCGCTAATACACCAGACCAAAAAATGGCAGCAGCAACCCTGATCTCCCAGGTCACCCACACTCATCAAATGGGATCTCAGCTAGAAGGAAAAGTTGAGTAACTACAGGTAGCTAACAAGAACACAGCATGCCACCTGAGTACAAGATGTAGAAAGGCCCAGCGTCAGGCACTAGACCTTGAAAGGGAAGAGCAGGAAAACCTATTTCCCCACAATCCAACAGCTGCTAACCCAACACCATCTCCTTTAACAACATCACCCTGGCTCCTGCTACCTTGCTCTGAAAGTCTTGTCCTCTCTTTGACAGCCACGAACAACTGCCATTAATACAATTAGAAAGAGGCAAATTCATGGAGTCCATGTGTTCTGAACAGCATTTATGATGCCTACTGAATGTATAACAAAGACTAGGGCAAATTAATACAGAAACTGGTGTTCAGAATGGAGCTAGCTCAGTGATACAGATGTAGTCAGTATATGAAAGGCCCTGGGTTCAATCCTGAATATGGAAAGAATATGAATTTTTAAAACAGGAGAAAACATTTCAAAACCCAAATTTCCACATCCTTTCCTGTCCTGACCATGGTCTCACCTAGAGCCAAAGCCCGGTAACTAGGACAGGACAGGACATGGCAGAAAGGAAAAAAGCACATGGACATCTCTCTGATCTTGCTGAACTCAAAAACTCTGAAAAGAATGGCAGGCAGTTTGACGGCTCCAATGGTGCTTAATTAAACATGAAGGTTAGTAACAAAACAAAGAAACACAAAAGGCACAAGCCCTCACAAAACCATAGATATGACACACACCACATAGATACTGAAGAAATTAACTTACCAAAGAAGTCGAATGAAAATGGGTCCCTGCCACCAAAAAATTCCCTGAAGACATCATCTGGGTTTCGGAATGTGAAGCCAAACTCAAAGGGACTGTCAAAGTGACTTCCACCTATACAAACAGTGTAGCTTTTAGTTTGTGAACACTGGTGATTTTAGGCAGTTATCTGTCCATATACCATTGTACGTATCATGGCCTAAAGAGGTGACGTATTCCACACATTTGGTTCTAAAAAGCATCATGAGCCCCTACAGTGATGCAAACTACCTTTGCCAGAAGCTGGTCAGACCCCAAGGTCTCTGACCTCCAGTAGGAAGCCCTCCGTTGCCACTTCTCACCATTCCAGCAAATGTGGCAGCAGGTACCTGCTATGCGCTATTCACTATGAAGGCTTACGACAGCTGAGCCTAAATCCACTACAATGCTGCTCCTGAGCAGTGTTCTCACAGTGGTCGCAGCAGCAATTCTGAGGCCTATGCTGAAGAAGCTCATCAGCTGAACACTGTGGGGTTTTTCACAAGGCACACAGTGTCTGCTCTTTACTGACAGATATTTTTACCTAATACTGGTTACCACTAAGAGTACAATAAGGTTACAAATTATTCCTTATCTACAGTAAATGCTTTATCATATACTATATAACTTAACCAAAGACTGTGGTTAGTCTTCCCCCTTTGCTATTGTTTTTTTGGGGTTTTTTTTTTTTTGGTCTATCTGAGACAGGGTCTCCCTATGGCCCCAGCTGGCCTTGAACTCAGAGACCCACCTGACTCTACCAGCTGGGATTAAAGGCGTGCGCCACTTCGCCCAGTTGCTGTTATTTTAAAGGCAGTGTCTCATTCTGTAACCTGGGACTGGCTTGAACTCATGAAGCTCTTGTCTCTGCCTCCCAACTGGGATCACAGGAATGCAGTAAGCCCTCTTAAATGTTTATCTCCTCGCCTCCACAGTTGAGCACTTTCTAAACTGCATTTGTTATTTGCCATCAGGAAGATGCTGCCCAAGAGACCCAGTAATTTACAAAGCAGACCTATGAACTCAATGTATTTAGAAGGCTTTTGTTGAAAGCCATGTCTGCAAAAACATACATACCTCCTCCTCCTCCATCTAATCCTTCTTTGCCATATTTGTCATAGATGTCCCGCTTCTTGGCTTTGAAATCAAGAAAGACACTCATTAGGGGCAAGTTATTTTCAAACCCTCAAAAATTCAGTCAATGTTTTTCCAAGTTGTAAATCAAGCTACAGTTCTTCAAATTTTTAGTTAAGATACCCTGGACTTTAAAAGAGGACAGAGCAGGAATCTTGTGTACCTCCCTCCTGAAAAACTAGTAAGACTTCCTTTTAACTACTGCCAATGTTTAGGAACTGCCAATATCAACACATTCAATTACAGATCACTTGCTTCATGCTGGAGCAGAGTCCATGCATTTATTAAACCACACAACCACAGAAAAACTACTTTCACCCTAGGAATAAAATTTCTTGCTACAAAGTCAAGAGAGAACAAACTCGGGTCCTGCTAGCCTGCACTCAACAAGATGCCACTGGAATACTAGCTTCAGTTTTCCAAGAATCTCATTCTATCTCTATGAAAGGGGAAACAAGCTTAGAGAGATGGCTCAGCAGTTAAGACCACTGGCTGCTCTTGCAGAGAACCCAGGTCCAGTTCCCAGCACCCATATCCTTGACCCCACTTCCAGGAATCTAACACCCTCTTAGGACCTCTGTAGGCACTGCACACACATGATGTATTTCTATACACGCAGGCAAAACACACATAAAAACTTTTAAAAAATAAAAAATAACACCCAACCTCTGAAGACTAACTCCAGTGGTGGCTGGAAGACTGCCTGGAGCAGGAGATAATAAAGTCTTCCCAAAACTGACCAGACCTTTTTGACTGCTTCAAGATCCTCCTTCTGGGAGGAGTGAAGTCTCCAATGAGGCCCAGGTACCAGCACCATTCTAGTTCAAAAGTCACAGTGTAAAAACAACTGCACGTGGCATGGTGATGCACGCCTTTCAGTCTCAGCACTGAGGAGGCAGAAGCACAGGGACATCTGTGCGTTCCAAGCCATCCAGGGCTGCATAGTGAGACTGCCTTCAAAAATATAAAAATTTAATGACAAGATTATTTGTGAATATGTGGTGGCCACTAAAACTTATCCCCCAATATATTCAGCATTATCTTGATAATTCAAAGGTGTGCTGATAACTAGACCCAGTGAGTTTCACAGAATTCCTTCTAGAACATTTTTTTTAAAATAATGACCTATATTACCTGACCACCTGAGATAGTCTTGGGAGCAATGCCGCTGCTTTGACTCACTGCTTAGGATATGGACCATCCTTTTCTAGTCTCTGGCACTGTTCCCAGCCCAGTAGATGCAAGACCTTGCCTTACCACAAACTCAGTGGCTACACCTAGCTTACAGCTAACCCTTGACCTATTTGCAAAAGCTAATCAACCTTTCACAGCGGCATCTAATGCCTCTGCTCTAAAGTGGGGAAAATACAAATGAAGTCTAATGTTCAACTCCTTTACTCAATCAAATGAAGTCCTTTCAAGTAGTAAAACCCCACTAACAGAGGGGCTGAGATGCCAGGGTAACTGGACATCACAGGAGCCACAGCAGGAGCCTGACTAGTCCTTCAGTCCCACCTAACCCTGGACTCCTCAGACCATGGGTATTGGGTACAGTGGGGGTTTCATTTTGTGAGACAAGACAGGAACTCCCTGTAGCCCCAGCTAGACTGGGCCTGGATCTGACAGAGCTCCTTCCGTCTCTGCTTCTAAAGTGCTGAGATTAAGACATGTGCTCCCACACCCAGCTTCTTAAGCGGAGTCTTACAAAAGCCATCCTAGTAGACTCTTCCCACAGCCTACTGCTCCATCAGTTCCAATGTCCACAGAATAAACATTCTCAGGGGCCCCCAAAGCCAGGAGCAAGCAAGCAAACCCTATGCGTAGACACTCTGCTGAGCCCCTCCAGCTCCTGCTCCCTCCTCTCAGAGCCATTCCCAAGTGCTGCGTGACTTACCATCCGATAACACCTCGTAGGCCTCGGCTACTTGTTTGAACTTTCGCTCCGCTTCTTCTTTATTCTCAGGATTTTTATCTGGGTGCCACTTGAGTGCCTGCTTCCGGTACCTAGAATAAAGCAGAGTACTGATCACAACTCAAGTTCAGAAGTCATACCAAAAGAAAGTGGCTTCAGAGCTGCCACTGGGTGAGATTAATGCTAATTTTAGTTATGAAGTCTCTCTTTTCCTAAGGAGTAAAACAAATCTCAGACACGACCTGACCAGAGGAAAGGCTGAGAAGTGTTTGGGGAGCCCAGTTCCCGTATCATTGTCACTGATGACCAGGTGAAGTGTTAAATCCGTGAGAAGGCCTGGCCACACACAGCAGGAGACCTTGAAGCCTTTCCTATCTTCCTGTCTTGACTTCCACACAATGATGGTCTGTGACATCCTTTCTGCAAGGCAAATGCCCTACTTTACTTGCCCAACTCTGAGTTGCCTAACTATGTGTATAGAGTGAGGGATCACCAATTAGGGTAGGTGGCTGGGGAACAAGTCCCATGTCTGAGCCCAAATGCTCACATGGTTATTGCAATCTAAAGTTAATGTTAAACTATACGGTCAGGTGCGGGGGCATACACCTTTCATCCCAGCACCTGGGAGGTAGAGACAGACCAGCCTGGTCTACCAAGCAAGTTCCAGGTCAGCTGGGGCTACAAGGAGACCCTGTCAAGAAAAACAGCAGCAACAACAAAAAAAACCTGTAGCATTCAAAGACAATATACTTGTTAAAAACCATTTTAGGTCTGTGGTGGGCAGTAATACAATGGTGGCCTATCATGTGTGAGGCTCCTGGGTTTAATCCCCAGAACTGCAAGAAAAAAAGGAAAGGAACAAAAAGTTCACTAGGTGACAGAAGTTAGACTATCCAACTACCAACGAGCCACAGTACTGAACATTTTAGAAATGAAACCACTCACGCTTTTTTGATATCCTCAGGTGAGGCATGTCTCTGCACGCCCAGAACTTCATAGTAATCCACCATGTTTTAACAGACTGTTGGAATAAATCCTGCAAATAAAAAATTGTGGTCAATGAAAACACTGCCAAGGTTGGGCCTGTCACGGGTGAGAACTGGGGGGTGAGTAGGAGGCCGCTTGGCACCTACTGGAGCTTCTGGTAGCCAGCCACTAGCATGTAAGGCAGAACCTTGTCCAAGAAATGGTTCCAAGATTCATTCCCAAGCCCATCTAGGAAAAAAAAAAAAAGCTCTGAAATGGCCTAATGGTTGCCTAAACTATAAACAAACAGGTGACTATGCTCTAAGGCAGAGGTCAGGTGGCCATCTGACCAGTGAACTGGCTGCATCTGCTTTCCTAGACCACACTACACTTAGGGAACTTCAGCTTCTTCCCTCCTCCAATGAGCTCCTATGCCTAGCATTCTGTAAGACTGCAGGTCTGCAAAGATGAACCCACTGCCCAGGCCCTGCCAAGCGCCCGTCCTCAGTTCTGTGGCTCTGTGGGGAATGGCAGCAGTCCTCGTTCGTGTGCCCTAGCAGTAAAGGAAATGTCCTAGAACACAGCTAGCCACCTTTCAAAGTTCCATGTAGCCACCTTCCAAATCAACAACACTGCCTGAATCAGGGGTTACCGATTCCTTTACCTGTGGATTCACCTGCCTCTCCTGTGCCTTCACAGAGCAGCACGATGGAAAGAAAGCTCCTACCACTGGTATCCAGGCCCACAGCTGTCTAAAGAATGTGCTTTCCCCTTAAACTGAAGGACTAGATCAGAGATCAACAACTCAGGGCTAGCAGCTGGAGAAATGGTTCAGCAGTTAAGAGGGTTCTAGATGCTCTTCCAGAAGACCTGAGCTCAGTTCCTAACACCCACATCAGAAGGTTCACAACCACCCATAACTCTACCTCCAGCCCAGGGAATCCAATTCCCTCTTCTGGCCTCCACAGGCATCCACACAGTATATATAAACACAGACATTAAAAAAATAAAAGCCCATGCGCCTTTAGTCTCGGCACCCTGGAGGCAGAGGGAAGAGGCTCTCTGAGTTCAAGTTTAGCCTGGTATACGACAAGAGCTCTAGACCAGTCAGGGTTACATAAATAACTCAGGCCTAGAAGATGACTCCGTGGATAAGATCACTTAGAAACTGAGTTCAAATGGGGGGGGGGATACACAACGTGGGATGACATCATGATGAGACAACATACAACGGGAGAAAGATTTTAAAAAGGAACTCTTGGAGATCCTCTTGCCTCAACCTCTGAAGTGCTAAGATTAGAAGGTGTGTGCCACCCACATCTGCCTCTGTCTCTAGTTTGGATTTTCAGGTAAAGGAAGGAGGGGAGGGGGGAGGGAGAGACAAAACATGTTTATTAGGACACAACCTTAAAGCAAGTTCTACCAAACCACTTTGCCCAAAATGGAGGCCACATTTTCAATAGTCTTAGCACAATTAACAATTTTGGAGTTTCAAAAGATATGTAAACAGAGGCTGCAGAGATGGCTCAGCAGTTAACACTGATTGTTCTTGCAGAAGACCTGGGTTCGAATCACAGCATCCACATGGCAGCTAACAACAGTGCGTAACTCCAGTTCCAGGGGATCCCACAGCCTCTTCTGTCCTCCTCGGGCACTGCACAACACGGGTGCACTTACCTACATGCAGGCAATACACGCATACACATAAAAATAAAACATTTTTAAAAAAAGATATGTAAACAAAGACGTGATAACCTTCTTAAAGCCATGTAATTAAATAAAGCCACGAGGTTAATTAAAGCCACAACTATCATTCATTCTCAAAAGATACACAAGAACTGGGGGGGCTCAGTGGAAGTGTGCACTTGGCACATGTGTGCATGGCCTAGGTTCAAGAACTGGGGGGGCTCAGTGGCAGTGTGCACTTGGCACACTGTGTGCACGGCCTAGGTTCAAGCTCTACTTTCAACAAAAAGTCTCATTATTTAAAATTGTTATTATGTAGCCAGACGCCTTTAATCCCAGCACTTGGGAGGCAGAGGCAGGCAGATCTCTGTGAGTTCAAGGCCAGCCTGGTCTACATAGTGAGTTCCAGGACAGCTGGGGCTACAGGGAGACCCTGTCTCAAAAGACCAAAAAGACAAAAAAAAAAATTATTATGTATATGGTACACATGCACATATATGAATGTGGGAGCCAAAGGTCAAGTGTCTTTCTAGATCCCTCTACATCCTTTTTTATTTTCAATTTTACTGTCTTAAAACTATGGGCTTTATGAACTTGTACGTCACCCTTGTCCATAGAGGAGCCATGCTAACTCCTTCCTCTGTTCTCATTTTGCCATAAGTGCTGCTGAAGCAAGCACTCCACCTAATTTTGAGACAAGGTACCACTGAACCTGGAACTGACCGGCTAGGCTGCGGGTTAGTGAGCTCAACTCCTCCTGTCTCTGCTCCCCCGACACCCTCTCACTGAAGTTACAGAAGAGAGTGTTTTAGGGATCTGAACTCAGCTCCTCATGCTTGTACAGCAAGCTTTTTACCAACCCAGCCACCTCCTTGACCAAAAATGTCCCATTTTTATATCACTGCTTTCCAACTTGAAGCAAACCATTACAGTCTGTCCTCACCTGCTTATGTAATTCTCATTCAACATTTACAAACTCTGCACAGGGGTTCAGAAAGAACCCTTAACTGTTACTCGTCCAGGAATCTCAATCAAGTAACTCCAACTGGGTATAGTGGTACACACAGAGAATCCTAGTCAGTATTCAAGAGGCTAAAGCAGGAGGATTACACCTTGAATTCAAGGGCCAGTCTTGTCTGTGTATTAAAGGCCAGGTCAGCCCAGGTTAGAGACAGACTG